TATATATATATATATAAAATAAAATATTTTTACCTTCTCCACACTCTTCACTTAACCCTCCAAATCAATTGTTATTCCTTCTTTTTCTTCTCCTCTTCCTCCTCTTCCTCTTCCTCCTCCAACCCGATTGTCAAGGCGTTCTCCTTTTCTACCTTTTCTTCCACTTCCTCTTCCTCTTTCGCTTCCTTTTCCTCCATCGCATTATCGAGATTGTCGATGAGATGATTGAATTCAATTCTATTTACACGCATTTGTATAAGATCATCCACCTCATCTCGATGATACGATGGAATAAATCTAATTGATTAACATGTAACTGATTAATATCGATAATAACTGTATCACTTTGAACCTGGACTGAGGAGGAGGAGACAATCCTCAACTTTTTTGTTTTTTTTTATCACATATTTCTTTTAGGTAATAGCAATGCACTATAAAAAAAAAATTATCACTTCACTTAATCACAGAAATGTGCAAAAGTATTCTATCATTAAGCATTAATGGTAGAATATTTTTGTACATTGGGGAAAAAATTACTCATATCTCGCGCGCAAACAAACTTCTTCTTTATGTGAATGACCTTGATTCTAACACAGAGTTAATACAGCTAGAAAATGCCGCTTATGCGGTGAGTAACAAAAAACAATGTGTAGAATTCGAAAAAAGAGTAACATAAACTTAATTGCGCGTTTGAAGCCAGTCACACTTTCTAAAAACGACAATGCAATAACATCCAATCATGCGCGGAGAAAACAGGATAAAGACTGACGCTGAGAATTAACCTTCGCCGCAGCGAGCCTATCTTTTAGGATTTATCTTTAGGTGGCAGTTGTATATAAAATAATTCCTATCATAAGTGTCACGAGAAAAGTTATTGCATTATCGTTGCAGCACTCTTTATAAGAGTAGCCTAATATATAGTAGATTATTTGTGCCATCGAATTGCTGAAAGTTCACGCTGTATATTTATTTTCACACCTGTAATTCCTTTTTTCTTATGTGGAAAGATACATACGTTCATACATACAAGTTCATACATATATACGTTCATACGTACATACATGCATATATGTGTATATGATTCGTGATACGAAAAAAACAAGCGTTGACTGTTCTTTATCTAAACGGAGTACAATGGCGCGTCAAGGTTGGAGGAGAGGAAGGTGGTGTAGGAGCACATTGAATAAGGTACTTATATAAAACGGTGTAAGGGGTTTCCTGGAATATAGACAGTCACAAATCTATTCCCTTCATTAAAGGAGGAGGAATAAAGTTTAAAAAGCTGATAATGATAATATTTTTTTCTTTTAATAAATATAAGTTTACATTATAAATGAAGATTCTGTCAGCTTCCATTTGTACTCTCTCCTCATTATCTCCTTGACCAAATTCTCAAGGGTTTGTAAATGATTCTGTGTAAATTTATATACTACATATGTAGTCCTTTTTGAAACACGAGCAGAAATGATTTTTCGATCTTGAAACGCTAATTCTACTAAACTACCGTAGTAATATCACGAGTTAAAATTGATTAGCAATTTAACAATTTTTGATGCTTTTTCACATCTTCGAAACAATTTTAATTTTGCTTCATGACATATTAAGATTGTAATTGAATGTATCTTTATGACATTATAAGTTGTTATTATATGTGTTCTTATACATATAAGAAAAGTTGTATACAATTTCTATAATTATATTTTTATCACATATACATATATATCTAATGAGATTTACTATGTCACTATTAAGATTTTCAAAATAATTTTTATCATAGAATTGGATTAAAATATAAAGAATATTTAATGTATATTAATAACTGTAAGTAAATCTCAATAAAACACACACAATTTTTGTACGTTCGCGTATGTAAGTAATTACTCATATGTGTATGTGTACAGAATGTTTGATAAGAAGCGTAACAGAAGATAGATCAAATGAAATCGAATAAAAAATCGCTTTAAAATTTTCACAGTAAACAATAATTAATTTCCATTATGTTTAATCCGCTCTGTCTGTCTACAAGGAATATTATAATATATACAAATATTTAAATACTCCGTAGATGTACATATATGTTTGCAATTATGCACATATAAATATTTGAGTATTCAACATTATTATATTTTATTAATACATATATTCCATGCCGATCATCGATAACCCACACATCATAGTGGACAAGTTATCTAAAATGGAAATTTTGTTTTACACATATATCAGCTATTAAGCATTATTAATAGCTGATACATGTGTAAAACATACATGTGTAATTTGACTCACTGTTAAATAATTTTTTTCACGGATTCTATAGAGATGTTCCTGAAAGAATACAAGACGACATATCTATAATATATAAAGAGAACAACAAATGAAACAAGAGAGAAACAAGAATATAAATACTGTCCTAATGTCTAAACCTTGGAAGAAATCAGAAAAAAGGAAGACATGAAAAAAATGACACTTGATGAGTATAGTATAGAATAAAGAAATTATCAAATATTGAAGGATATTGCCAAGCACAAAGTTAAAATCAACCATTAATTTTGGTGAAAATATTTTATACAAAATTATTATGAAGTATATCACAGAAATAATAAGTATATTTGGAAACATAGATATATGCACTTTATTGAACAATTAAGGAATAATGAAAAGACGGAATAAAAGACAGAAAGGACTTGTTCCAAATATGAAGGATGTGGATTAGCAAGAATACATGAATATCAAACTAATATTTTTGAGACACTGACAGAAAACATGGCGAATGAAACTAACATAATAAATATGAAACGAAATCTTTTTTTTATATTTGCTAAAATGTATAAAAATCTCATTTTTAAAATACTCACTTTTAAAAAAAGAATATTTATCTTTTTGTTTATTTTTGCGATATCTTATTAGATATAAAGAGTTCCTTGATTTTTAATTTATTCATTATTCGCAGATTAAAAATTTTTTAATTTTGATATTGCTTCCTTAAACAATTAAAAAAATTTTAGGTAAATATTGAAAACAGACTCTCCTCCAATAATTTCGACCTTTATATATATTATCAAGGCTCTGAGTAATCTCCGGAAAATTTTTTTCTTAGCTCTCACTATATGTGTATTTAAAAGTTATTAACAAATAAAGTTGACAATATTAATGTGTAATTAAGTATATATTTTAAATTATAACCACAAATAACAATATTCCTCTCTTCCTCCTTGCCTAGGGATCAACAACTTCCAAAGCGAAGCGACTTCTACCCTGCCTCGCCAAAAAGTGCGATTTTCCACGCGAACCGAAATTTATCTCACAGATAAGGCTTGGATTAGGTTAGGATTAAATCAGAGGGGGGAGAGCAGGGGGGAGGAGCAATCCCCTACTTCACCCATACTTCTTTGCTTTTAAAGCAAAACAAAATCAATTGTTCTATTCCAGATAATTTTTGTGTAAAAAGATTACATGTGCGGGGGAGGCGCGGAGCCCCTCTGTCTGCATTCCCAATCCGATTTAACCCAATCCTTATGTTAATGGAAGACTTATGCCTTCTTGCGGTATGTGAAGCGCTATTTTCTTTTCGCCAGAGACTTCTCGCCTTGTAGCCACGCATGATGTGGTTTCGTTAGCATAAAATAAGTGAGGCAGCTTGTGCAGAAATATACTTTAATTCTTCTTGTAATGTATTTACATATTACTCACGTTGTACAATGATCAGCTTGCTCATCGGTCCTCACGTGGCGACTATTGGATCGCGAACAATTAGCGCGTCTTGCAGATGCAAGCACGCCATGCTAGTCTAAGCAGCACCATGCAAGCGTGATAGAGAAATCGATACGCAGCCATGCGCGATATTTAAACGACTAAATTTTTTCCACTTTACTAGCAGACATATCATTGCTCTTAAAAATCACCTTTCAACAAAACAAGCGATTGCACTTAACAAAAAATAGCGTATTGAAGAATTAGCAAGACAATTAAAAAATAAAAGTATAACTAATGTGAATAGACAAGGAAGTAAATTTCAAGCATTATGATCAAACCTTAGTCTTCAATTGACAGTAGACAGAGACTAATGGGTTGTTTATAAATGCCATATCGTACCGATGCGAGATATGGCATACTAGCCTGGAAGTATCTGTAAATTTTCCCTAGAGGCTATGGTAACGGAAAGGTATGTCTTCTTTGATAATAATCATTTGTCGATATAGATAGCTCGTTATCACTTGTTATGCCGTTCTTGGCACTACTGAAGATATTTTGTGTCACAACGCTTCCAAAAGTGTTGACACAGTGTTGTTGTATATATATTGCCATCGCGAAAGATTTACGGGTATCTCGTCCAGAAATCGCTTGCGATAAGACGTGAGAAAAGTGTCTAATAAGTGTCAAAAAATGTCCCGGAATTAGCGACCAAATCGACGAAATCAAATGAAATCGAAGTGAGAGGACGAAGATTTAGTATTGCTTCAATCTGAATGAGTAATGTTTCCAGTTCTTCATATTTCAGGTTGATTTCTTGTTGTACAAGTTAAATGTCGCTTGGTTGCTTTCACGACTGCTTCCCATATATAATCATAGTACTTTAGACGGTATAAACTGCCAACAAACTCTTAGGCTCGCCACCTGATCTTGGATTTGTTACTGAGTTAGCTTGTTTTGGATTACTCTGCTAATTCATTTAGCTCGCGTTTGGCACCTACCTAAGAAATTTTTAATCGTTGTCAGAAAAAATGTCTAAAGGACAGTTTCTTCTCGCAACGAAAGTGTCTGAAGACACTTAGAAATGCTTTTGACGACAAGATTGAAACGAATTATTCAATATAAACCGCCTTGGTGGCTAAATAGACAAAGATTGCAATATAGAATTTCATCAGCTTAGTGGTTTTTGTTTGCACCTTCTTTGCTGTAGAGAATTATATTAATATAATCCACATTGATCAAATATTAGGGAAGTTTTAATCTGCGATTCAAGTAAATTCCTTATGATGATGGAGGCAGGTTCTAAAGCAGATGCATTTTCTGAGAATGTGTCGAATGGTGTTATCCACTAAAATGAGCCAGTAGCGCTCATGAACTGCGGCTGGAGTGGCTTGCTGTCCAGTATGTAAAATGCTTCACAAGCTAATGCATCACAATTAAGTCGGAAAATGAACAATTTCTAGACAATAGTTGGAATGTTTGAATGCATAAGATAAGAAGGATTCCCTTAAATGACCACTCACGCATAAGATGCCGGAATCGTCAAGAAATGGATTTAATTTTAATATAGGACTGTAGGAACAGTTCCTTGATTGATGAGTGACTTTGTTTCCTTTTTACGAAATGCTTCAATTGTATTACCTTGATCAAAATCGCGTGTTGTTGCTTATTCAGATATAGATTCGACGATGTTCCTTCATGAAGATGAAACTTCTTGTAGTTAGTCGGATGATCCTTTTTACATATTTAAAGTTTTCCACAAATCGGAATATGTATGCAACACAACCCGAATGAGTCTGGTGAAGATTTGAATATCGATAAAATATGTCAGGCTCTTGTGTATTAGCTGCTATTGCGGTAATAAGAATGAGTTTTCTTTCAAGAATGTTCTTCATATCGATGATTTAGGGAAGAGTTCTTTGAGGCCAGCTCTCCTTGACATGCTTCAGCTTCATGAAGGTTCTGATCAAATATCTAATTGAGTTAAAGAATTTGGCATGATACCTCGTAACGGGTCGCAGGGTATTGTCCTGCGTATGTGATTCCACTGATAGATCGATGTTAATTCTTATATTTTCCCGATGGTATGCCATAAAGTTGACCAATATCGATTGCATGATTGCAGTCAGTACAATTGTAGAATTTGTCCACAGATAAATGGAAGCTACTTGACATTTAGAAATTTTATTGATAAGTTGAGCTAGCAACAATGTACATAATTCGAAACGGGAGTGACAAGTTCTTTAATGGCATTATTCTCGATTTAGAGTAGACGTATGCAATAGACATCGTTGATTGAAATGGAGCGTAAATAGATGCTGCATATGTGATTTCATTAGTGTTTAAGAACTCATACAGTTCCAAACAAGTAGGCTGATTTGCAACAGTAACAAAGCTAGAAATGCTTATGCTATTTAGTTCCTGCTACTCTGTTTCAAAACGCTTCCATTTGATATTCAATTCCAAGGGAATCAATTCGTTTCTATTGAACTTGAGTCGCCAGAGATCCTGCCAGATCGAATAATGTAACTGGATTCAACAATCCCAGTGGATCAAAGATTAGAAAGATGCGCATAAAATACTTCATTTGATAAGCACAAAAGGAGGCAGATGATTGATAAGTATGTGATTGCTTGACAATCCCATGCATAACATCGGTTTCTCGGAATCCTTATCGAAGGATAGGATAAATTCTCTTTGTTTGATCGAGGAGTGCTGGTCCTGGAGACAGAGAAGATTGGATGATCATTTCCTCCAGCTCAAATTTTCCTTTTCGCAATAATGTGATAATCTCCCTCTTTGATTGATGAAGCTTCTTCTGATAAATCTCTGATCCAGTAATAAGATCATCTAAAAGTCTTGCAATACTATCTATGACGCTTTTGGATACCGATTTGCATTATCCTCCACTAACTTTCGTAACACATTGATTGGCAGAAACGGTCCTAATAAAGTAGGTAAGAGTGAGCAATTCGATAGTTTTAATAAGCTCATTTTGGGATACTCATCAGAAAATATATTGTAATGATGTTTGAATTGAATCGAACTTTTTGATACATTTTGGCTATATTGATTGTAAGAGTAATTTTGAATGTTCAGAATCTGGCCAAAATGGAAAAAAGATCTTACGTAGCTCACCATTAATGCGTCACTTAGAGATAGCCCGGTCGTGATTTTGCATGAGTCATCGAACACTACCTTGAACTTCGTAGTGCAGCTCGTTTTCATACAGCATGGTATGGGAGATAAGATGTAGCAGACTTGGCATTGTGTGAATGATCATCTCTCTCATGTGGTCCAAATGTACGTATCCCTTCGTGAACTTCCTACAAGGCATACAAGGTTGAAAGAGCTATTTTTTCGATGATATGAAGCGTTTTAGAGCGATGTTTCGGAATTCTCCCTAGTTGTTTATCTTGCCTTGTTGGCTTGATGAATAAAACGCCCGTCACTATTGCACTTTATGCTTTGCAGGAATAATTCTTCACAGGTCTTATCTTCAGGAGGGAATGGGTTAGTACTATTATGTTCAACTTCTCAACCGACTCAACGTATGCTTCAATTCATCGAATGATATTAAATTAAAATTAAGAGATCTATGTTATATCACTTGATGTGAAATGATCCATTCAAAATGTGTTTTTTACAGTGTCGGCTGCATTGATTGTTTTGATTGTCAATCTGACCCGCACAAATAAGCCTCTAGAAGGATTCGGTTCCTATTGAAATGTCAACGCTAGATAGTACGTTAAAATTGGGGTCAGCGAGTTTTATGTGTTTTGGAACAGACACACTTTGTATGGGTATAAAATATTGCGGTAAATGCTGTCATTTTTGGAAACACAACGCAATCCATTTTCTCAGAAATTTCGCAGAAATTATTAAAACGAGATTTGACGCAGACTACCTTATTGACGTGAATTACTTCATCTATGACTCTCTACCATAATAACATCAAAAGATCGTCGTTTTAATCGATTGACTAACTCTTTCTTGATGACCTGATGTATGTGGTGACTGGAGGTGAAGGATTGGTAACCTGACACGATGTTCGCGTGCTTGACACAGATTGATCGGAACTATTCCAGTTGTGTGCAATAATGTGTTATGTTTTTTGCTATATTTCTAGCAGATATTGGAGCTACATACTTTTGCTTGGTGCGCGGTTTATCATTAAGCAATTACAACAAAAATGCGCGACCTTAACTCTATCTTCAACTGATAAATTGAGAAAGCTTTTACAATGATATATGAATGATATATTGAATGATTTTCTTTACATACGAAAAAAAGATTGGATGTTTGCAATAGATGTGGACTTTAAGTTGCTACTGTATTTTGGAACTGATATTTGTTGAAAATAATCAGTATATAGAACTCTTGTTAATAATACACGATAATGATTATTTTGAATGATTATTTTGATATAAGAGAGATTAGATTAGATTGAAAATCTTTATAACGTAAAAATTAAATATATATAAAATTACATGATAAACTTTATAACTTACAATAATATTTTCTGATATAGAATAAATCATTATTAAGACATTATGTACATACATCATGTAATGTCTTAATATTGATTTGTATGTTTCATATATTTAATTTTTACGTCATATCCGTCATGCTTTTCCTTTTGACACTTAATTCCCACGCTTTACTAATGGCTACATTCAATTTACAATAAGATGAACAATAAGATGAACAATCAAGTTATCCCAATAGTGGACCTTTTGAGGGCCTTAAACACATGCAAATGTTTGAGAATGGTGTCCAATAATTCGCGAATCATGCTATGATTTTCCTTATATACATCGAAAATACATCAAACAAGACGCGAATATGCCTTTGAACAAGCCATGTCTGATTGTCCTTGAACGTTCCTTTCGCTTTGTGGTCAAACACAATGTGATTTCATTAGCATAAAATAAGTGAGACAGCTTGTGCAGGAATGTAGTATGGATGATCCACGTTGCAAATACAAAAAATGTGATCTTCGTTGACCAATTAAAAGAAAAAATTTTTGAAATGACCAATCAAAAAATGCTTCAAAGCATTTGTAGCATGAAGTGGATTATTCCCTTTAATTTTCCTTATGACATATTTACACGGTAATTCACGTTGTAAAATGAGCCAGCTTGCTCAACGGTCCACGCGCAAACGAACAATGGCGGACGCAGAATCGCAAACAGCAACTAGCGCGCTTTGCGCTTAGAACGTACATACTGGAAAAGTTATAGGTGACTGTCAATGATGGCATCTATCTGTCCTTGCCTAAATACTTCACCGCATGCATCGATTATTATTATGTAGTATTTAAGAGTGTTATATTATCCCCACTCTTGTCTTAGAACATACACATTTACGCTCATAACATATAAATCATGTGCAACCGTGATAGCAAACAAGCTTTCAGACAAGGATAGACAGATATTGGAGGCAACTTATTCCTCCAACAATTGCAAATGTTGGAAGACACCTAAAATTTGTTTAAATCAAATTAAAGAAATCTTCTAGAAATTTCAAGAATTACCTTTTCTTGACGAGTTTCTTAACAAAAATAACCTTGGCATTCTAAAAATGCAGTGGAATAAATTATTAAGCATTAACTGAATTGAAATTTTTAATAACAATGTTATTAATGATTGTTATACGTCTTGGTCTGAAGTCTACAAATTCAAAAATGCAGGAGGTAATTTTGTCTTTAAACAACATTAGCTACATTAGCATTTATCCTACTATCATTACCGACAAACAATTTCATTGTAGAATGCGGTTTTTCTATAATGAATGTCGTTAAATATGGTATAGTCCTTCCAATATGTATGTTTTAAGACTTTGCGGCTGTAAGCCGCTGGTCTGAACAACGCTACGCTAACCTACTATGCAAGCGCAATAAAGAAATCGGTATGCAGCCATCCGCGATATTTGAACAATTAAATTTTTTCATATTAGCAGACATTACTCGCAGATACCTTATCTGATTGTGACCTTGTGGACCTCGCTTGGAAAGTCATTAATTCCTGTAAACAGGAAGGATGGGGTAAATTTTGTGTTCTATTTAGAAAACTTATTTAGTTAATTTTTTAATGTATAACGAGCGCGGACTAAAATCTTTTGAGGATTACTCAGAGTTACGATCTTAACAATATATATCAAAGTTGAAATCATTAGAAGTGAATTCGTTGTTTTAATATACAGTTACCAAATTTTATATAATAATTTTTGAAGTGAAGTTTTCTTAGAAATAAAAAATTACAGTAATTTGTTCTCATCTAAGATTAATAAGTTCCTTCATTCCCTGACTTTTCCCGATTTTCTCTGATTGCTAACGGCTCTGATATATTCTTGCTTGTTACAAGTAAATATTTGGAACCAAAGACTTTGTTTATAACGAAAGATGAATCATAAATCATCTTAGCTGTTCCAATAGAAGACAAAGAAAAAACAATTAAAATCATGAAATTATAAACTATTAAACATTTATAACCAATTTTTTAAAATAGGAATAAGTTTGTATTTGTAATGTGGGAAATTTTGCTACATATAACAGATAAACAATAGAAATTTTATTTTACATCGCATGTGAGAACACAATCAAATTGATTATGCGGTTCAAAATAAGGATTCTTAACCCTCCGTTCACACAAAGGATTAGCGTAACCTATCTCCCGATTTTCATAGTTCAGACATTTGGACACGCTTTGAGTAGTGGCACTGAGGCTTTTCTTGGAAAAAACTTATGTATCACTTCTACAATTCCCGTGCTTGGTCTTCTAATGTACCATTAGCTACGTAGTTGTACAGTGTAAAGTGTGTGTTCGATGTTACTTTTGCGACCAACTGCGGACTTGTAGTCGGCCACAATGGCACCTTGCGATAATGAAGAAAAACTTGTGATAAATGCGGTCTCAACCGCACAAGTTGCAGTAAAATTCACAACAGATGAAAATTATGTAGTCCAAAATATCGAGGTGACTTCACCAGCGGCGGAAACCAGGGTTACCAGATGTGATAATTCATCAAATAGGCGAAATCTTGAGTCTTCACATAGTAAAATATGCAAGTTTAGATATCATGATATTTTGCATGATATTTTTGAAGGTATATGAAGTAGCAAAAATTTTTAAGACTTTTATAATTGACGAAAAAATATTTTCTCTCGATACTCTAAATTCGCGAACTGCACATTTTAACTATGGTATGAGCGTTAGGAAAAATGTCTGTTTGTATACGATATAACGCTCTTATCATAGCTACTAACAATCTCATCATCAGAAATGTTATTCTTATCGAAAATCTCGGTTTGCTTATTGGTGACTTGTTCTTCTCGATTATGAAGTATGGGAATTTTATCTTAATTTGCGTGAAATAATAAAAGCATCATCATGTCTCCATCATTTAATATTGTGATTCTTGAATTACTCGAAACTCTGAGCATCACTCCTTATATTTATAACTTTTTTCTGAATCGCTAAAGCCTAAATATCATTTATTACTTCACTACGCTCGAATAATGAAAAAATTTGATCCCCTCAAGTATCTTTCTTCTCCATTATAAAGCGAAACATAAACAATTGAAAGAATTCCAAAATCATAACATCGCATCAAAAACCAGCTTTTATACTTGCTTTGAAATATTAGTTCAGTATGTCTTATTTCTCCTTAGGAAAGGATTTTTAAATCGTTATGTTGGGATCTCATACTCGACGAAAAGTTGAGTTTTTTACGCGATTATAGTCATTTGAAAAATATTCTTTCGCCACATATTGTTAATGAATATCAACATCTTGAGTTGAAAATAGCATAATTTATAACTAACTTATATCTTATAACTAACTCGTATCAATGCAGTTATAAAAATAGACTCGAATGATTTTTTGTTTGGTCAAATTAAGTACATAATTATTCATGAATCGCAAAATATATATTTTTTATATTTCAAATTGAACACATTGAGTATATATCGACATTATTATGTATTTGAAGTG